TCCGGGCGGGGGCCTTGGAGGACTTCCGGTCGCTCACTACTTCCGGTGACCGAGTTTACCCAAATTAGCGTCCCTCCTCGCTAATTTCTGCGCTTTCACCCCAAGAAATCTTCACGTTATTCCCCCCCCGCACACCCCGGGACAGACGGGAGGCCGCGAGTCCCGCCCTGCCGCCGGAACCGGCCCTTAACTCGAGCAGGGAGCGCTGCACCGGCACGAGAGCCACTGCGCATGCGTCGCCGGTCCCTCTCCTGCCTGCCCTTACTTACCACGTGATCGCCGGCGTTTTGCCAACGACTGCGCATGCGCTGTTCAAAATTTTTTCAATGCAGTTCCTGTTTTCCGTCAGCAGGTGGCAGTATTTCATCTCAAATATATGTGCAATTCTTTTTCTCTGTCACCAGGGGGCACTGTTGCTATGCGATTTTTTACTTATGGCATTTTTTTTTGTTTTATAACCGTATTTGTTCGTGTAGTTCTTTTGGGAAATCGGATAATTGGCTTGTGATTGCTGGTGGTTTGAAAATTTACTTGTGTAATTAGGCTCTTCTCCTGGTTTTAATTCTCTAGGCTCTTCTCCTAAGAGAATTAAAATCAGGAGAAGAGCCTAAAAAAAAAAAAATGAAAATCAGGGGAAGAGCCTAAAAAAAATGAAAATCAGGAGAAGAGTCTAAAAATATAAAAATCAGGAGGAGAGCCCAAGAGAATTAAAATCAGGAGAAGAACCTAAGAGAATTAAAATCAAGAGAAGAGCCTAAAAAAATTACAATCAGGAGAAGAGCCTGAAAAAAATTAAAATCAGGACACGGGACTAATACAATAAAAATCATGAGAGGAGCCTAAAAAAATTAAAATCAGGAGAGGAGCCTGAAAAAATTAAAATCAGGAGAGGGGACTAAAAAAATTAAAATCAGGAGAGGGGACTAAAAAAATTAAAATCAGGAGAGGGGACTAAAAAAATTAAAATCAGGAGAGGAGCCTGAAGGAATTACAATCAGGAGAGACCCAGAACTCACCCAAGTCTCCCCAAAAAACTACCAGAAACTGATTCAAATCTCCCCAAAAATGACCCAGAACTCACCCAAATCTCCCCAAAAAGTGACACAAAAACTGATCCAATTCACTCCAAAAATTGATCCAGAACTGACCCAAAACTGGCCCAAATCACCTCAAAAACTAACTCCAAATTGGCCCAAAACCTGACCTAAAAATGCAAGAACCCCCCCCCAAACTGACCCAAAATGATACAAAATCAGCCCCAGATATGACCAGAAACTGACCCCAAAATCCCAAAACACTGATACCAAGACTCACCCAAATCTCCCCAAAAAAATGACCAAAAAGTCAGCCCAATCACCCCAAAAAATGACCAGAAACTGACCCAAAATTACCACAAAAATAAACCCAAAACTCACCCAAATCATCCCAAAAAATGACCAGAAACTGACCCAAATCTCCCCCAAAAATGACCAGAAACTCACTAAAAATAACCCCCAAAAATGATCAGAAACTGACACAAATCTCCCCAACAAATGACCCAAACTTTATTTCTTTTCTTAGCAACAAATCCCTTCCTTTGCTCCCCTCTGGCCCTGCCCACACGGCCCCAGTTCAGCTCTCAGTGAGTTCTTGCTTCTGGGCAGCGACTCCTCTGCCTCTTGCTGGGGCGGCAGCAGCTCCTGTGCCGGCAGGGAGAGGGACCCCGAGCCAGGAGAGGGACCCCGAGCCAGGAGAGGGACCCCGAGCCAGGAGAGGGACCCCGAGCCAGGAGAGGGACCCCGAGCCACGAGAGGGACCCCGAGCCACGAGAGGGACCCCGAGCCACGAGAGGGACCCCAGAGCCCCTACAGAGACCCCAGAGCCATTATAGGGACCCCAGAGCCACGATAGAAACCCCAGAGTCCCTACAGAGACCCCAGAGCCCTTATAGGGACCCCAGAGGCCTCCAGAGCCCCTATAGAGACCCCAGAGCCCCTACAGAGACCCCAGAGCCATTACAGGGACCCCAGAGCCCTCCAGAGCCCCTTGCTGGGTCACAGCCCCTCTTCTCCCGCCCAAACCCACCTTTCTGGCTGCAGCTGCTTTTCTTCTCTGGCTCCCCCTTCCTTCCCCAGGGAGCTTTGCCTTGTTCTTTGGCCAGGCTCCAGCTGCAGCTCAAGGGCAAAGCTGCAACTACAATTCCCCCTTCGGCTTTTTCACCTGAAAAACAAAGGCTTGGGCCAAACTCTGACCAGTCACTCGCTGAACACGAGACATCAAACAGGGCACACAGAATAAAATGCATCCAACTCTAAATCATGTTACAATGACTGTCCACCCCAATCCAGCACTGACATTAAAAACCTTCAAGCAATCAAAAAGACCTCCAAACATCCCTTAGATAGAGAAAAGCACACCAGGAACGAATGCAAAAAGAAAAATTCCAAACAATGCTCAATTAAATAACCATGGACTGATATAAAACATGTTTAGGGAACTTAAACCACTTCTTCCCATTATTCTCCATCAGAAATTACCCTTATTTAAGTTCTCCTTTTAACACTTCATTAAAACTGACTTATTAGGAAATGGTTTGAACCAAACTTCGTAACTTGATGACTCCAGGGTTTGTGCTCCTTGACTTTGGCCTGAAGGGGTTTGGAACACAGGCTTTGTTCTGGAGAGCTTTTCCCCAATCTACAAACCCTTCTGCAAATGGGACTCCCTTCCCTCAGGGTTCGGTGGCCTCTGGTTTTCCTGAAGGCTGGGGGGGATCTGGGAGCCAAATCCCAAGGGATCCAGCCCAGCTCTGCACACACACACACACACATTTCCAGCTGGTCACAGTCTCACGGGGGCCACCACCACTCAGCACATTTGCACACAAACACCCCTCTGAGTTCCTGGCACTGGGTCTGATGGACTAAGAAATGATCAGTCTGGTGGTTTGCCCTCAGAGGAGTAAGATCCAATGATGCATTTCTATTTTCATGACAATATAACCTGGAAAACACAAACATATTTCTGCTTCATGTGCAATTTAAAATTCAAAGACACAGAAACATTCCTAGAGTTCAAGTCCCCAGGTTTGGTTCCAAATGTCACTCGGTCCCCCTGGGACAAGAACAGTGGCACACACGGACTCAACAGCCCTGCACAAGCCCAGGAGTGCGGGGGAAATATCCTTGAGAGCACTGCTGCATTTCAAAAAGAAGTCAGTCACATCAACTCTGTAACAAATAAAAAAGAGAAGCCAAAATAAATAACTGTAGACAGGGTATCAAGTATCTTGAGAATACCAATAAGAAAAAACTAAGAATAAAGGCATCTATTTGAAGTACAAAGAGTTTGGGAGACACCATTTGTTTGCCACAAAGCCTTTATTTTGTTGGCTCTTCTATAGTTAGAACCCAAACCTTACCCTCCCACAAAAAGCAGAAAACCTCTTCAGAGAGTTAGGAGATGGAGTCAGTTTGGATTAATGGGAAGAACATCTCTGGAGACAAAATAAAGCAGAGAAAATAACCCCATCCTCAACAACAGAGCTGCCTCCCCACTGCCTGCCCCTGGACACTTGCTCTGGGGGTGACAGAGCCTGAAGTCTCCTGCCTAGTCCTGGGCAATACTTCCTGGGGACCACAGCACCACTGAGTTCCTAAAAATATCACAGGTTGGGCAGGTGCTTGGATTTTGTCTGGATTAACTCCCCTTCTTCCTTTCCAGGTGCTGCCCTACTCATTGTAATGGTGCTTGTACTCCCTGAGCCATTCCCTCCCCCATCCAACCATCCCTTGTGCCCTCTCTGACAAGAACAGTGGGTCCAGGTGTTCTGCCACGCTCCCAGGGCACAGGGGGGGACTGTGGAGCCACCCTCGAGGGGGGAAACGTGCCCTGCCTGCCCTGCCCAGGGAAAGGGAACTGCCCCAGTGCTCCCCAGCACAAGGCACCCTTGGAAATATCCACTGCAATGGGACACTCAGGGACAGCAACAAGCACTGCACGAGGCTGCTCTGGCACAGGGCCAATTTTAGCCTCAGCTTTTCTCTGGACCACTTCACTTTGTTTGCCACCTCATCCTGCAGTCAGAACTTGCTGTCCTTGCAACCTTTCAGGGTGACCAAAAATGAGAGAGGCCTCTGCTCCAGCACCCACAAGGGCCTGATCCATCTGACAGGATCCATTTTTCCAGGGAATTCAAAGCTCCACCTGAGGACTAGGGTCTTTTCTCACCCATCCCTGTGCTGCAGCTTGGCCTCCATCTCACTGTGCTTTCAGTTCCCTGCATGGTTGAACACTGGCAGCCCTGGCCCTGGGCGGAGCTCGGCATCCTGATCCCATCCCTCCTGGCCCCCGGAACCGCTGACTCAGCAATGGGGGCCCTCCATTGCCAAGGGCACGGGCCCGTCGGGGCTCACGGGGGGAGCAGGAGGGCGAAGGCTCCAGCCCTGCTGCTACAACCTTCCACCACTACAGCCAACAGAGGAGCCTCTCCAGCCCTGCCTCCCAAGGCATCCTCAACAAACCCAGCCCAGCTCCACAGGACAAACTGCTCCCTGTCTGCCCAGGCCAGTCTAATCCCAGAGGCTCCCAGGGTCATGCAAAACAACTGCCCAGGAGATCAGAGACCCCAGTCCATCTCTTCCTAGCACAGGTTTGGGTTAGTTTGGCAAACAGACCAACTGAGGAATTCCCCAATGTTTTCCCAGTTTGACCCCTGTCACACCAATCACCTTAACAGTGCCAGTCCTTCATTCTCCCTCTCTTGGGTTAAGGACTGAGCAAGTTGGACCTGTGTCTGAGCAGGACATGTGCAAACCAAATGCTGGGGACTGGAACACACACCTGGCACTCCTGCAGCTCTCACAGTCACATTCCAGAGAAAACAGCCAATTGCACCCTCACTGCTCATTTCTTAATCCCAATCCCACACTTCTTTGGCACTTGGAGCACCGCTTTTAGAACCCAATTACAGCCCATTAGAGAGCTCCCTGTCTAGCAGGGACAGGGACCCCTGGGATACTCTCAGCACTGCCTGAATCCATGGCAGGGACCTTGCTTTGAGCTCCCCAGGGCCGGGCACCCCGAGGATCTCCCCGAATAATCCTTTCGGTGCGCGCTGGAGTCCTCGGGGTGCCCCAACCCGGGGGGCACCAACAGCACTGTCCCTCCAGGGGCCAATTTGGTCCCAAAATGCAGGGGGATCTTGCCTGTGTCCCAGACTGGTCCGGAGATCTGAGGCCCTTCCCGAGAAAATCTCGGTGCCGGCGTGAAGGGCCAGAGATCCCTCGGAGCCACGGGAGAGCAGGCACCGAGTCCCTCCTGGGGGGCAATTTGCCTGCCTGAAAACAGCTCTTCAAAGGAGCCTCTAAGACTCAGCTGGTGACTTTTAGAAGCCAGGCATTCCTTGCTTACAACACCCTGCCATGATCCCAGCCCCACGGGGGTCCTGGCAATCCGCTCCCAAAGGGCACACGGAGGGGTCTCCACTGCAGCTGATGGGAGGGGTCAGCATTACAGGAGGGCTCATTTTCCTTCCCTGCATTCCTGTTCCACATTCAGGACATTTCCCAACACTTATCACCATACACAACTACCCTTAGAAGGTTTCCAAGGGGCTTCACCGAGGGCCTTCCCAGGTCTGCTCTGTCTGGAGCCCTCCAAGTCCTCAGTGCCTGCCTGAGGAACCTCAACACAACTCACCTGCTTACACAGCAACTTGGTGCTGCTTGCCTGCTGCCTCACTTCCCTTCTTCCTTCTTTCTTCACCTCCCTTGCTTGGTCCCTTTCAATCCCTGGGCTCAGCTCTGTGCACTTTCCAGGCTCCATCCCACTGCAAAAAGGATTAGCCCTTGTTACATCTCAACACTCAGAGAGCATTCCCCCTTTTTTCTTAACACTGGGCCATCAGGCCAGGGTCTCATTATTTAAAGCACAGTTTGACTCCTCAGTGACAACAACAGCTACAGCCCTGAATCCTAACACAGGCTGAGACACAAACACGGATGGGAACTCTTAAGGATCCACTTTGTCCTGCTCACCAATCAAAAGGAGCTTTCTGAACTCAAGAATAACAGACCCCAGGTCCTTTTACTGCAACTTTACCTGCTATAAATGTGACCCACAAGACCTGCAAAGGCCCTTCCCACTTCACCTGCAGGGCTGGCAGTGCCACCACTGGACACGGCCCCAGTGGCCGGGCAGGAACGGAGGGGCTGGGGCGTCCAATCCATCGGCCCAGGCGGCACCAGGAGTTCCTGCAGTTCCTGAGGGGAGAGCCTCAAGCCAACAAAGGATTAGGAAGAATATTTTAAACTTCAATGTGTCTATCTCCTGGAATATGGGGACTTTGATAAGTCCTACTGGTGCAACAAGGACACACTCAAGGCTATCTATTCAAAGGATCTACCAGCACTCAAAAGCTATCACTGTCCTTCTGTCAGGGGGAACGCAGCAAACTCTCTTTGCCAGGAGCCTCCAGGAGGACTTCCAGCTTTTGGGGCTCCCTTTTAACCATTTTTCCCATAACTGGAGCTGGGACTATCACCTGCCCTACAGGGGGAACAGCCCACAAAGTTCACCATCAGGGATGCCATTAACTGAAAGTCCCTTCTCAGGGGGGTCACTGCACACCTTGGCCTTTGTTTGCCCTCCCCACCAAAGATGCTTCCAACAGTTCTGACACATCTGTCAGACCCAGAGCTCTCCTCAGGGAATGCTTCAGCTGCTTAAAGGCTGCCCTTGCACCATCTATTCAAAAAGTCGCCATAACAGTCTTACCACACATCCCGAGGGAGCAATGCAGAGTCCAGCCCGTCCCACCATTCCCAGCAAGGCAGTTCATGGGCTGTCTGGGGCTCAGGGAGGAGTCACGGGGCTTCTCTTCTTCCTGCCCGCTTGCCCCATTTTCTCCTGCAAAAGCAAAGCTTTCTTGGCTTTCCTTGCTCAAGGAGATGCAAAGGCCATCTTTTAAATCCAATACTGGAAACTCCTCCAGGTTGTCATTCAAGGTGCTTCTCTCAGGTCCTGCACTAATCAATCATCTTGTCCACTGGTTTTCTTGGCAGGTTCTTGCATTCACGTCCTACAAACAAACCAGGAGGAGCCAATTTAGCTGTTCCTGCAACCAATCCAGTCTGGCATTCTGATTTTAAAGGATACTGGGTTGGCCTTACCCATAGAGATCCCACATCAGGGGTAATACCTACAGGTTCTGCCCTCTTCCACTCTCCTGCAGCTCCACTGGCCCACACCACAGGAACAACTGCAGCTGCCACTTCAGTCAGGGCCTTGCTGCTGACAGGAGTTATTCCCTGCACAACAAGAGCTGCTGCTTGGACACATTTAGTTTCAGCAATTACAGCGCCAAGAGCCCCAGTTTTCAATTCCATTTCTGCCTCAACTTTTCCAGCCCATCACTTCCTAGCAGAGGTTTGGGTGAGTTTGGCAAAAACACAAACTGAGGAATTCCCCAATGTTTTCCCAGTTTGACCCCTGTCACACCAATCACCTTAACACTGCCAGTCCATAATTCTCATTCTGCTGTGTTCAGGACTGAGGAAATTGTACTTGTGTCTGACCAGGACATGTGCAAACCAAATGCTGGGGACTGGAACACACACCTGGCCCTCCTGCAGCTCTCACAGTCACATTCCAGAGAAAACAGCCAATTGCACCCTCACTGCTCATTTCTTAATCCCAATCCCACACTTGTTTGGCACTTGGAGCACCGCTTTTAGAACCCAATTACAGCCCATTAGAGAGCTCCCTGTCTAGCAGGGACAGGGACCCCTGGGATACTCTCAGCAATGCCTGAATCCATGGCAGGGACCTTGCTTTGAGCTCCCCAGGGCCGGGCACCCCGAGGATCTCCCCGAATAATCCTTTCGGTGCGCGCTGGAGTCCTCGGGGTGCCCCAACCCGGGGGGCACCAACAGCACTGTCCCTCCAGGGGCCAATTTGGTCCCAAAATGCAGGGGGATCTTGCCTGTGTCCCAGACTGGTCCGGGGATCTGAGGCCCTTCCCGAGAAAATCTCGGTGCCGGCGTGAAGGGCCAGAGATCCCTCGGAGCCACGGGAGAGCAGGCACAGAGTCCCTCCTGGGGGGCAATTTGCCTGCCTGAAAACAGCTCTTCAAAGGAGCCTCTAAGACTCAGCTGGTGACTTTTAGAAGCCAGGCATTCCTTGCTTACAACACCCTGCCATGATCCCAGCCCCACGGGGGTCCTGGCAATCCGCTCCCAAAGGGCACACGGAGGGGTCTCCACTGCAGCTGATGGGAGGGGTCAGCATGACAGGAGGGTTCATTTTCCTTCCCTGCATTCCTGTTGCACATTCAGGACAACTCCCAACACCTGTTCCCATCTACACAAACCCTTATAAGTTCTCTGAGGGGCTCCATTGGGGGTCTCTGGTGGTCACCTGTGCCTGCAGACCCCAAAGTTCTCAGTGACCACCTTATCAACTTCAAGACAACTCACCTGGTTGTAGAGGAGCTTGGTGCTGCTTGGCTGCTGCCTCAGTTCCCTTCTTCATTCTTTCTTGACTTTGCTTGCTCAGTCCCTTTAAGTTCCTTGGCTCAGCTCCATGCACTTTCTAGGGAACATCCCACTGCAAAAACTACCAGTTCTTGGTACATCTCCTAACTCAGATATCAGGGAGTGAGGCAGAAATCAACTCATCCAGGGCACTGCCTCCAAATATTGGGACAAAAACACCATAACATTCCATGGCTCCCCTTGGCAAATCAACCCCAAACTGCTCAGACACAAACAACACCCTGCACACTACAACAATCTGGCACTGCTGGTTCAACCCGGCCAAGTCAGTTGGGAAACTACACAAGGTCAACCTCCTTCCAAGTTTCAGTTATGACACAAAAGTCAGGGAGATCACAGACTCCCCCACAGAGTTTTACTCTGAGGAGAGAAGGAAACCAAAGCCATCCCCAGGGCTGCAATAGCTCAGGCTCCCCAAAAGGCCCAGGGGCTTCAGGTTTCTGAGGGGCTTCACCGAGGGCCTTCCCAGGTCTGCTCTGTCTGGAGCCCTCCAAGTCCTCAGTGCCTGCCTGAGGAACCTCAACACAACTCACCTGCTTACACAGCAACTTGGTGCTGCTTGCCTGCTGCCTCACTTCCCTTCTTCCTTCTTTCTTCACCTCCCTTGCTTGGTCCCTTTCAATCCCTGGGCTCAGCTCTGTGCACTTTCCAGGCTCCATCCCACTGCAAAAAGGATTAGCCCTTGTTACATCTCAACACTCAGAGAGCATTCCCCCTTTTGCCTTGACACTGGGCCATCAGGCCAGGGTCTCATTATTTAAAGCACAGTTTGACTCCTCAGTGACAACAACAGCTACAGCCCTGAATCCTAACACAGGCTGAGACACAAACACGGATGGGAACTCTTAAGGATCCACTTTGTCCTGCTCACCAATCAAAAGGAGCTTTCTGAACTCAAGAATAACAGACCCCAGGTCCTTTTACTGCAACTTTACCTGCTATAAATGTGACCCACCAGACCTGCAAAGGCCCTTCCCACTTCACCTGCAGGGCTGGCAGTGCCACCACTGGACACGGCCCCAGTGGCCGGGCAGGAACGGAGGGGCTGGGGCGTCCAATCCATCGGCCCAGGCGGCACCAGGAGTTCCTGCAGTTCCTGAGGGGAGAGCCTCAAGCCAACAAAGGGTTAGGGAGAGCATTTTTAACTTCAATATGTAGATCTCCTGGAAGATGGGGAGTTGGACAAGGCCTACTGGTGCAACAAGGACACACTCAAGGCTATCTATTAAAAGGATCTACCAGCACTCAAAAGCTATCACTGTCCTTCTGTCAGGGGGAACTCCGCAAACTCTCTTTGCCAAGAGCCTCCAGGAGGATTTCCAGCTTTTGGGGCTACCTTTTAACCATTTTTCCCATAACTGTAGCTGGGACTATCACCTGCCCTACAGGGGGAACAGCCCACAAAGTTCACCATCAGGGATGCCATTAACTCAAAGTCCCTTCTCAGGGGGGTCACTGCACACCTTGGCCTTTGTTTGCCCTCCCCACCAAAGATGCTTCCAACAGTTCTGACACATCTGGCAGACCCAGAGCTCTCCTCAGGGAAGGCTTCAGCTGCTTAAAGGCTGCCCTTGCACCATCTATTCAAAAAGTTGCCATAACAGTCTTACCACACATCCAGAAGGAGCAATCCAGAGTCCAGCCCGTCCCACCACTCCCAGCAAGGCAGTTCATGGGCTGTCTGGGGCTCAGGGAGGAGTCACGGGGCTTCTCTTCTTCCTGCCCGCTTGTCCCATTTTCTCCTGCAAAAGCAAAGCTTTCTTGGCTTTCCTTGCTCAAGGAGATGCAGCAAAGGCCATCTTTTCAATCCAATACTGGAAACTGCTCCAGGTTGTCACTTACAGGGGTTCTCTCAGGTCCTGCACTAATCAATCCCCTTGGCCATTGGTTTTCTTGGCAGATTCTGGCATTCACATCCTACAAGCAAACCAGGAGGAGCAAATTCAGCTGTTCCTGCAACCAATCCAGTCTGGCATTCTGATTTTAAAGGATACTGTCTTGGCCTTACCTGGAGAGATCCCACATCAGGGGTAACACCTACAGGTTCTGCCCTCTTCCACTCTCCTGCAGCTCCACTGGCCCACACCACAGGAACAACTGCAGCTGCCACTTCAGTGGGGGCCTTGCTGCTGACAGGAGTTATTCCCTGCACAACAAGAGCTGCTGCTTGGACACATTTAGTTTCAGCAATTACAGCGTCAAGAGCCCCAGTTTTCAATTCCATTTCTGCCTCAACTTTTCCAGCCCATCACTTCCTAGCAGAGGTTTGGGTGAGTTTGGCAAAAACACAAACTGAGGAATTCCCCAATGTTTTCCCAGTTTGACCCCTGTCACACCAATCACCTTAACACTGCCAGTCCATAATTCTCATTCTGCTGTGTTCAGGACTGAGGAAATTGTACTTGTGTCTGACCAGGACATGTGCAAACCAAATGCTGGGGACTGGAACACACACCTGGCCCTCCTGCAGCTCTCACAGTCACATTCCAGAGAAAACAGCCAATTGCACCCTCACTGCTCATTTCTTAATCCCAATCCCACACTTCTTTGGCACTTGGAGCACCACTTTTAGAACCCAATTACAGCCCATTAGAGAGCTCCCTGTCTAGCAGGGACAGGGACCCCTGGGATACTCTCAGCAATGCCTGAATCCATGGCAGGGACCTTGCTTTGAGCTCCCCAGGGCCGGGCACCCCGAGGATCTCCCCGAATAATCCTTTCGGTGCGCGCTGGAGTCCTCGGGGTGCCCCAACCCGGGGGGCACCAACAGCACTGTCCCTCCAGGGGCCAATTTGGTCCCAAAATGCAGGGGGATCTTGCCTGTGTCCCAGACTGGTCCGGAGATCTGAGGCCCTTCCCGAGAAAATCTCGGTGCCGGCGTGAAGGGCCAGAGATCCCTTGGAGCCACGGGAGAGCAGGCACAGAGTCCCTCCTGGGGGGCAATTCTGCTGCCTGAACTCAGCTCTTCAAAGGAGCCTCTAAGACTCAGCTGGTGACTTTTAGAAGCCAGGCATTCCTTGCTTACAACACCCTGCCATGATCCCAGCCCCACGGGGGTCCTGGCAATCCGCTCCCAAAGGGCACACGGAGGGGTCTCCACTGCAGCTGATGGGAGGGGTCAGCATTACAGGAGGGCTCATTTTCCTTCCCTGCATTCCTGTTGCACATTCAGGACACTCCCAACACCTGTTCCCATCTACACAAACCCTTATAAGGTCTCTGAGGGGCTCCATCAGGGGTCTCTGGTGGTCACCTGTGCCTGCAGCCCCCAAAGTTCTCAGTGACCACCTTATCAACTTCAAGACAACTCACCTGGTTGTAGAGGAGCCTGATGCTGCTTGGCTGCTGCCTCAGTTCCCTTCTTCATTCTTTCTTGACTTTGCTTGCTCAGTCCCTTTAAGTTCCTTGGCTCAGCTCCATGCACTTTCTAGGGAACATCCCACTGCAAAAACTCCCAGTTCTTGGTACATCTCCTAACTCAGATATCAGGGAGTGAGGCAGAAATCAACTCATCCAGGGCACTGCCTCCAAATATTGGGACACAAACACCATAACATTCCACGGCCTCCCTTGGCAAATCAACCCCAAACTGCTCAGACACAAACAACACCCTGCACACTACAACAATCTGGCACTGCTGGTTCAACCCGGCCAAGTCAGTTGGGAAATGACACAAGGTCAACTTCCTTCCAAGTTTCAGTTATGACACAAAAGTCAGGGAGATCACAGACTCCCCCACAGAGTTTTACTCTGAGGAGAGAAGGAAACCAAAGCCATCCCCAGGGCTGCAATAGCTCAGGCTCCCCAAAAGGCCCAGGGGCTTCAGGTTTCTGAGGGGCTTCACCGAGGGCCTTCCCAGGTCTGCTCTGTCTGGAGCCCTCCAAGTCCTCAGTGCCTGCCTGAGGAACCTCAACACAACTCACCTGCTTACACAGCAACTTGGTGCTGCTTGGCGGCTGCCTCACTTCCCTTCTTCCTTCTTTCTTCACCTCCCTTGCTTGGTCCCTTTCAATCCCTGGGCTCAGCTCTGTGCACTTTCCAGGCTCCATCCCACTGCAAAAAGGATTAGCCCTTGTTACATCTCAACACTCAGAGAGCATTCCACCTTTTGCCTTGACACTGGGCCATCAGGCCAGGGTCTCATTATTTAAAGCACAGTTTGACTCCTCAGTGACAACAACAGCTACAGCCCTGAATCCTAACACAGGCTGAGACACAAACACGGATGGGAACTCTTAAGGATCCACTTTGTCCTGCTCCCCAATCAAAAGGAGCTTTCTGAACTCAAGAATAACAGACCCCAGGTCCTTTTACTGCAACTTTACCTGCTATAAATGTGACCCACAAGACCTGCAAAGGCCCTTCCCACTTCACCTGCAGGGCTGGCAGTGCCACCACTGGACACGGCCCCAGTGGCCGGGCAGGAACGGAGGGGCTGGGGCGTCCAATCCATCGGCCCAGGCGGCACCAGGAGTTCCTGCAGTTCCTGAGGGGAGAGCCTCAAGCCAACAAAGGATTAGGAAGAATATTTTAAACTTCAATGTGTCTATCTCCTGGAATATGGGGACTTTGATAAGTCCTACTGGTGCAACAAGGACACACTCAAGGCTATCTATTAAAAGGATCTACCAGCACTCAAAAGCTATCACTGTCCTTCTGTCAGGGGGAACGCAGCAAACTCTCTTTGCCAGGAGCCTCCAGGAGGACTTCCAGCTTTTGGGGCTCCCTTTTAACCATTTTTCC